GTTTGGCCTGCAATTCGGATTCCCTGTTCATAGTTGAATTTTATAATGATGTAAATATCTACATGTGGAAGAGAGTAGGACACAAAATTTTGGAACAGTCAACAATGTGGATTATAAGTGATCCAGTTACCGCAATTATGAGGAAAAGCACGAACAAACAAACAAGATAAGCAAAGTCAACACATCAACAGTCTTTAAACAAAAATAAAAACAAAGAACACAATGCCCAGCACGTAAAAAAAGATAATCCCAATTAACCCCTCAAAACCGAAAAAGCATTGAGAGCACGATTATCAGAAGCACAAAGCAGAGAAATACAAAACATTTTCACTTCCGGTCGAACCATGTGCAATTATGAATATATGTTTATTCCTTTTTATTGATTTTCCGCACACAACAATTCAAAAGCAAAGTGAAGGACAAAGCACACAGCGCCAACAAAAAGAAAAAAAGAAACAAAAATAATTGAGAGAAGCACCAATCGGACAAAAATAACACAGAACTCTATAACATGATGGTGTGTGTATGCAATTAACAATACACATATATCAATTAATACTTTTTCTTTTCTCTGCAAAGAAAAACAAATGGAACCACAAGCAAACAAACAGTTATTAACTATTAGCCCAATTTACCAGTAAACACAGAAATATATACCAACTATGGGTGTAAGTCTATCACTATATACGCAATTATAAATATAAATTCATCTGTTATTATTATTTCTCTTTCACTACAAAAAGCAGTTCATCATCATTATCATCACAGTGCAAGCCCAGGTGCACACACAGAGAGAGAGTCTCCAAGAACACACACACACAATGGAGTAGCAATAATAATTATTATAGGATAAACACATAGAGAGCAAAAACACACAACAACACATATTAACATTAAGAAACAAAAAAAGAAGAAATCCCAACGGGTGGAAGATTAGTTAGACTGTAGGGATGTATGCAAAAAAAGAAAAAAGAAAACAAAGGATGACCTGAGTCACACCACCATTAGCACAATCAGCACACAAGAATACAGGCCAGTGTAGCCACAATCAGTAGTGGTACACGCACCCACACAGAACTGCTGATACTGCTGCTGCTGTCTGCATCACCCTTCTTGTTGTTTGTGAGTTGAGGAGGAAGTGTTGTGGTTGTTGTGGTGGTGGTGGTTGTATCTGCATTAGTTGGGTTATTTGTTGACCCACTCCCTTCAGATGCAGTGCCACTCGCAGCGGTTATATTATCAGATTCATTATTCCCCACAGTTTCCTGTGGTGAAGGTGTAGCATTTGCTTCAGTAGTTGTTGATGAAGAAGATTCTGTTGGTGCACCATCATTTGTAGTTGTACTTCCACTTGATACACTCTGATTGTCTGCATTCTTCTCATGGTTCTCCTGTGTGGCTTTAGGCAATGTTTCCTCTGTCTGCGGATGGGAGGTCTGTAAAACTTCAGAGTTCTCTTCGGGAGTACTGATAGATTGCAGTGCTGGAGTCCTTTCCAGTTTCTTTATTTCCTCCTGTGTTATTCCAGCCTTTAAAGGACCAGTTGCACCCGTGCTTGCCAAGTCCCTCACTTCAATATCAGTTCTACTCTGATCATTCTGCCTGACAGCAGGAATAGTAACCTTCGCTGAGGCACTGAGAGATCCATTGGTCAGTTCAGCTGAGGCCGCAGGCTGTGGATGTGGTGCTGCTGGTAGTGGTGGTTGATCACCAGGAGGAACACCAGGAAGAGGATAAGCAGCAGGAACTTCTTCCTCCTCATCTCCTTTTTCTTTCTCTTCATGGTGAACATCACCTGCAGACTGTACCAATTCGTGCCCCTTTCCTCTACCACTATCAACAAGTGCAGCTTCTTCAGTTTCTTGACGTTCACCACTCCCAGTTGGATGAACACCACCCTCAGGAGCTAAACTAACTGCAGGATCATTAGCCAACACCACACCGCAAGTACAACACAGTGTAAACGTTAGTAAACAAAGCAGGTAGCACCTCACCATTACAGCCTTTGCGATTGTACTTGACTTCAATAGACTAACACAAGAAAGAAATCAAGAGAGAAATGAATAAATAGTGCACAAAACAAACGTACAAATAACAACACCAGCAACACGTACAATAAAATTATACAAGTCACAACAATCAAAAAGAAACAAAAGAGAACACTAAAACAACACCAACTGTAATTCACGGGTTCCACAAAAAGGTAAAATAAATTAAAAACACGAACAACTGCCACAACACATAAAGAAACACAATATTACCGCCTTCCACGTTCATGTATAAGAAATTATAAATATAAATTCATCTGTTATTATTATTTCTTTTCTTTTCACTGCAAAAAGCAGTTCATCATCCTCATTACAGTGCAAGCACACAGGCACACACACAGAGAGAGAGTCCAAGAACACACAAACACACACAATGGAGTAGCAGCAATAATTATAGGATAAACACACAGATAGCAAAAACACACACAATATCATTAAGAAACAAAAAAGAATGAAATAAATCCCAACATGTGGAAGATTAGTTAGACTGTAGGGTTCCAAAAGATAAGAAAACAAAGGATGACCTGAGTCACACCACAATCAGCACACAAGAATACAGGCCATTGTAACCACAATCAGTAGTGGTACACGCACCCACACAGAACTGCTGATACTGCTGCTGCTGTCTGCATCACCCTTCTTGTTGTTTGTGAGTTCAGGAGGAAGTGTTGTTGTTGTTGTTGTGGTGGTGGTTGATTCAGCGTTGACATTCTCTTGTGAACCTTCTGTGCCAGTCGTACCTGCAGCTGCAGTAGACTGATTAGTGGAATTACTGTCACCACCTTCAGTGGTAATTTCCGATTGAGTTTGTGGGTTAGTGTTGTTGGAACCACCGTCTCCAGATGAGGTTGTGCCTTCACTTGGTGCTGCTGCCTCTCCTTCTGATGTGGATGACGTATTCCCTGGGCCTCCACTTTCTGATGGTACACTGTTACCACCTGTGTTCACACTATTTTGATCTACTTGCACATCAGATTGAGCAACGTTATGTGATCCATCCTCTGCACTTTCCTGACCTTCACTTTTATGTCGTTTTTCTTGTTGTTGTGGTGGTGGTGTTTGCTGTTGTGGCGGTTGTGCTGATGGTGGTTTTTGTCCAGGAGGAGGAGGACAAGGACGTTCAGGCGTATCAGAATTGCAATCCGAAGTACCATCAACACCACGTCCAGGTTCCACAGCAGCAGAAAGAGTACAAGTGCGAGAAGAACCAGTTTGACCTTCAGGAACACCACCACTGGGGCACGGAGAACCAGGAGCTACACCAGCAGCAGCAGCAGGACCACCAGGAGGGCACCCAGAAGGATCTTCACCGCACTGAGCAACAGGAGTACCTTGAAGAAGAATCTTCGTCTCACTCTCCGTATCAGGGACTTGGTCGGAAAGATCGGCGGCAGGCACTTCTTCAGCGAGGACGTGCACACACGCACATGAGAGCAGGAGAGCGAGGATACACAACACGTAGCGCATCATTAG